CATTGCAAGCACTTGAGAACTAGAATTGCTCCCGGCTTGGGCTGCCTATAGGCTAATGACTTTCCCTCTGTAAATGGGAAATAGATGCTCAGAAGAGTCCTTTTCCAGCTCAAACAATGTCATTTCATTTTCCTAGCAAGAATGCACAGTTTATACAAGATTTAAGAAGACTGATTTTGTTTTCCCCTTGAGGAAGTATTGCCTTTGGAGCAAGAATCTTGATTCCCTACTAAAACTGTTACTAACTGCCACTAAGCCTTAGGTCCTCACTTGCCAAATGGGCATGCTAACATTTAATGATGTCCTTGGGTCATTGTGTAGACTAAATAAGTGAGCATCTGTCTTAGTCAAAGTTCTGTTGCTGCAAAGAGGCACCATGATCACGGCCATGCTTATGAAAGAAAACATTTAATTGGGGCTGGTTTACAGTTCAGAGTGTTAGTCCCTATTGTCATGGTAATAGGCATGCTGTCATACAGGCAGATATGGTGCCAGAGAGGGACTCAAAGTTCTACATCTTAGCAGGCAGCGGGAAGAGAGAAAGACGTTGAATATTTGAAACCTCCAAGTCTATCCCCAGTGACACACTTCCTCCAACAAGACCTCACATACTACAGCAAGGCCATACCTCCTAAAGGTGCCACTCCATGGCGACCAAACATTCAAATCTATGAGCCTATAGGGGCCCTTTCTATTCAAACCACCACAACCCTGCTGGAGGCTGAACATGGGATCGCTGTGACACGTGACTGGTGTCACTGTCATTGCCCAGTGGCATTCAGCAGCAATTGCAGGTTTCCTTTTTAGACCAAGAATGCTCTGAGATCCCTGGGAAGTCAGGTTTAGAACAGCAGGTGCAGTTATATTTAAATAAAAACGCAGAGTGACAGGCCAGTTTTCCTGTAGCCTACCCACACTCGTGTAGACCAGCTGCCCTTCTCACCGCTCCTCTCTTTCATCTAGAAAAGAGAGAACAGAATTTTGGCAGATTTAAGGCTAAATGGTGAGTCTTTCTCTCTTTGCTCAAAAAGTAATCTAGCCATGGCTCTGTTTCCTGATGTGATGACATTTGATGGTATGTAAAATGCTTAGGAATAGGGGTTCTGTGTTCAAGTTCCAGTTTTGTTACTTCTGCACTTTGTGTTCTTATGTGACTTACTGTTTTCTGTCATTGTTTATCTGTTCAATGGGAATGACAATAGTCCATGACTAGGAAATGGAACATACAAAATTCCAAGAAGACTGAATGCTGAGGTTATGGTAGATGTTAAGTTACTATATGATTATTATGCTGTTCTGTAGATTGCCAGTAACTCGCTGGGAAAATGTCAAGGAACATGTGTGCATATATTTTAATTATCATTAGTAATTTTCTAGGTAGGGAAATAGTCTACATTGGCATGTGTATATGAAATGAATGACTTGTGGCTATTTAAACTTTAAAAAGTGGCCTAAGTATACAAATGGAATTGCAGACTTGGGAATGGTGCTAATGCATGTCTAAGTCAACCACTCCTCCCGTACGTTCCCTTGGCTACCTCCTAGGCTCTTCGCTGTTGTTGTACTCTAAGATAGAGGGAATTTAATTGTGTGCCTGCTGATTTTTGGTTCTCTTTTTCATGTAGTGGTCCATACCAAACCTGAATACTAAGTCCAACACCTACAGGCATGAAGAGACTATGCATTGTTGGGTTTCCTGATGGAATGCTATCTGTAGACCTTATTGAAGCATTTAGTGAGAGATGCAGTTTCTTTGGACATTTTTGTGGTCCTAACATAGTGCTATAAAGAGCCAGTGACACTGAGGTAAAATAAGAGCATTCTCATGTATGAATCAGATGCTCCATGAAGAGTAGCAAGGAACAGATTGAATATTGATGCCCTTTTGGTGTAGGAGGTCCTTCTGTTTATGTGTTGCTTTCATTGGTTGAATAAAGAAACTGCCTTGGCCTTTTGATAGGGCAGAACTTAGGTAGGTGGAGAAGACAGAACTGAATTCTAGGAGGAAGGAGGCAGAGTCAGAGAGAGCCGCCATGAAGATGCCAGGTCAGACACGCTGAGTCTTTCCTGGTAAGCTACGACCTCGTGATGATATACAGATTACTAGAAATGGGTTAAATCAAGATGTGAGAGTTAGCCAATAAGAGGCTAGAGCTAATGGGCCAAGCAGTAATTTAATTAATATAGTTTCTGTGTAGTTATTTTGAGTGTAAGCTAGCCTCACAGCTGGGACCAAAAGCAGGCCCTCTCTCCTACAATACTCTTTAATCAGCAGTGGTGGACTTAGAGGAGTTGAATGCTTGCAAAAACACAGGGGAAATGATGGAAACATTAAAAATGATCCCAAACGATGGACACAGGGCCTCAGAGATTAATGACTTAGCCACAGTAGCAGCTAACATGAGCAAGCATTGTAAGGACCTCCCTAACAACGGTTACTCACAACTCTGGGCTCCAGGGCTCTAGGTCAGGCTGTGTTGACTCAAATATGGGTATGTAGCCTTTATTGATAGTAAATCTGCAGCCATTGTTGGATTTCTATCCGACTTACCCCTTTCCTTCCTTCTCCCCTGCTTCCCACCATCTTGTCTCTTCCATCTTCTCCTCTCCTTCCTTCCTTTCTATTCCAATACAGGGTCCCCAAAATAATAATTCCTCAATATTACAGGAATGGCATGTAAGGTTAAAAACAAGAAGGATTTTATAGCACACAGAAGGAGCCCCTAGCCTGATTTAAGGGGTGAAGGAAGAATATTCTGAATGATATGATATCTAGACAGAAACCTCAAAGATGAGTTACATTCTTAATTAGTCTAGATGGGAGACTGGGAATGAGCATCCAGTAACAGAGAGCAGAGTGTGAAGGTGTGTGTGGGTGCTCAGCCTTGGGACAATACTACGTATTCACCAAATGCTCAATATTTAACAAGCGTTTGTACTTACCGCATAACCGACATTGTTTTACATAACAGGATGACATCAGTTAACAAGGGAAGCGATAGGCTTATTTTTGCAGATGTTCTAGAGGAGAAGAGAGGATGGAGATGAGGTCTAGTCAAGGGAGGATGATCAAGGAAGCTTTTGGAGTGAAAGGACAGCCCATCTGAAACCGGAATGGGAAGGAATCAGCCTGCCTGGGAGGCAGGGGGGCAGAAGGAACAACAAAGGCAAAGGACTCAAAATCACAAGCGTTCTGGGGATGTCGGAGAGAGTGAAAGACTCCAAGTGTGCTGGTGGGAAAATGCACAAATAATCTAAATGGTGTCTCCTTAGCATGACTGCGATCAGAAAGACCAAAGAACAAGAAGGGGGGACCTAGTTTGCTGTGGTAGGAAGGCTGACTGGTGAAGCCACTGGAGCAGACAGTTTGGAGGGTCCTACAGAAATGTAAAGTGGAGCTGCTGTATAACCTAGCCGCCCTGTTCTGAGAGCACACTCACAGGAAGTAAAAGCCATCTCATAAAGATATCTGCATCCCATGTCCATTATAGTGTTGTGATGTGGAAAAGGCTGTGTTTCTAAATGAGAGATGGCTAAGGAATGCATGTGCATATATGAGCATGGATACATGTTTCTAAAAAGTGGATTATTTAGCCTAAAAATTACCGGCTTTTCCATTTGGCACAATGAGGATATACCCAGAAACTGTCACACCAAGTGAAATAAGCCAGACATAGGGAGAAGTATGTTACATGATCCCACTTATGTAGAAAATAAAATTGGGAGTCCAGTATGTTTAAACAGGCGTTCCAGAGTTGTGGGGGAAAGGAAGGGGAACATGCGGTTCAAAGGATGCAGCACAGCAGACACGAAGGCTAAAGCTGCATGTGCTAAAACACAGCTTTAGGGTCCAGTTAATATGCTGTATTGTACTGGAGATTTTTATTACACAAGTAGATTGTAGTCTCCCTTGTCACATATTAAACAGGTAGGGATTTGAGAAAATAGGTCAGTTTTTCTCACTACAGCATCATTTTTTTCTCATAGTATCATATAAACCTCAAATATACCCAGTGATATATGCAAATGTGTATTTGTCTACATGCATATATACATATTTGTGCATATATATGGTGCAGTTGCTCATGTACATGCCCGTGTGCTCATGTGGAGGCCTGAGGTTGATAGCAGGTATCTTATTATTCTCTGCCATATAAATATATATATATATATATAGTGTGTGTGTGTGTGTGTATGTGTGTGTGTATTATCAGGACCTTTTACTGAACCTGGAGCTTATGAATTGGTTAGCTGTATTAACCAGCAAACTCTAAGAATCTGCCTGTGTCCAGGCCAGCAGTACTGAGGTTACAAGTGCATGCTGGCACACTCGGTTTTTCACACTGGTACAGGGGATTCAGAGTTTGGTCCTCTTCATGCATGCATGGCAAACACATTAGCCACTGAACTATCTCTCCAGCCCCAGTAAAATACATTAAAAGCAGTAATTCGGGTTGAGTTGAGAAACGTTTAGAACATTTGTGATTCAAACGAGTAGAAACCCATAGACACAGTGATCTATGTACAATGAAGGGAAGCTTCTGGAAAATCCTAGCTGCAAATATTTCTCCTCTGAAGGAGGGCGTGGCTCTGTGTGGCTTAATAAATGCAAAAAAGACAAAGTGCACCTTTTCCAAAGAACGGCATATTGGGCAAATGTGCCTGTAGCAGTTCTGCTTTTCCTGTTATGGTTCTATGCACCATCACCACCAGCAGGACCATTGGCCAGCACTATATCTCAGGATGGCCATTGTGCCAATGATGGGCATCCTACTGTTTCCTCCTGGGTACCAGCCATCTCCCTTTACTTATTCTATGAGCTATCCCTTTAGCGGGGAGAGTTCTGTTTTAAGAGTGCTTTAAATCCTTTCTATCCAGTTTGAGCTTGTTCCACTCAGGCTAACCACCCACGCTTTTTTCTCCTTTTCCTGGTTTGTCCATCTCTGTCTGGGTTGGATCACAGGGCACCCAGGAGACTCATGACTCTTGTTTACTTCCAGCTAACAGCTTTGGGGATGACGAGGAGCTGTCCACATCTTCTGAGAGCGATGAAGATGTGACCAAGCAGTTTGAGATCTCTGTGTCCCGATCACAGAGTTTTCGTACAGGAGCACCCGAGAAGGGAAAGGCGACAGAGTTGGAACCGAAAACAAAATGCAACCATTTGCTGTCCGTCCACCGAGAAGACAGTGCTGAAGTGTCTGCTTGTGAAGGTATTCACTTCAGCTTGTTTCTCCCTCATCTAGGCAAGGGCTGGCCAATGGCGAGAATGCTGGTGAATAATTTAAATACTTGTCCTTGTATATAAAGAGCCCAGAGAGGGAAAAGAAAAGAAACTATGGATTGGGAAAGAATCCACAAAGAATAGTATAGCATTTCTCCATGCTTCTCATCCTCTTCATGCTCAGAGTCCCGAAAAAAGGTAGATGCTGAACCAGAGAAGAACCTGGGAAAGGCAGATGATAAAAGGCTAGGGAAAGTGGACCCCATCCAGTTTCCTCTATGACCACAGTGATCTGCACTCTCCAGTCTTCTTTCTCTTGTGGGGAGCTTGGCAGCCACAACAATGGGGACATCACAGTACATCTTCCATGTTAAAGAGGAACTGAGAAATGGTAATTTCTCAAAATTTAGAGATTTTGATTAGGCAATGAGAATAGGACAAGCAGAAGAAGAACAAAGCCAACAGGACCTTGTTTGCAGGGCAGGAAAAGCTTGCTTCTCATCAGGCAGTTAGACTTATTGACACAGCTCAACAGGACCTATGTTAGCAAACCACAACATAAATGGCTGCAGACCCTCTGCCCTCCCTCCCTGACTCTTCCTGTTCCCCAGTGTTCCACTTTGCATTGCTTTCTTTCCACCAAGTAGGCAAATGCTGGCTAATGAAAGTTAATAGTAGTTGATTCCCTGGGAGTAGCTTGTTTAATTCTAAAGCTAATGGCCCCATTTCCCAGAAGCCCGGACGTCTCGGGTCTGATTTATATAACTGGCGAAGGCTCAGAGAATGGAGCCAGCCACCCTGCCTTACCTTCCTGGAAACCACGGTAACTTATCCCTGTCAGAACTAGTACTTCTGAATTTTTGACAGGTAGTGATAGAAAAGATAAAATTCTCTTTGTTGGACAGAGGACAGAGTCTACCACATTGGATGAATTACTGTAAATTCTGAAGAAAATCCAGAGGGTTTTATAGAAATAGTTGCATGCTATTTGAGGCCCTCAAGGCTGTGGAAAGATTGATGTTTGCATTGCTTATTTTTCCTGCCATTTCCGTTTATTCATCATTATGCCAGTGGAATTACTTAAAGATAAAGAATAAATTTTTCTTTATAGTTCACCTCCTTTCTGTTTAGCTATTTTATTTTTACTTAGATTCAGTTTAATTGTAGACCATTTTTTTCCTGTTTAAAAGTGCATTAAAATGTTGGACAGCAAAATTAAATGTTCAAAATCCAAGTGAAATCTTTATTTGGAATGAGTTGCAGGTATCTTATCCTATGCTTTACACTGTTGCCAACTCATCCTTTCACTAAATAATTTATTCGTCGAGAATCTTATAAATGTATACAATATATTTTGATCTCACACACACCTTCAACTCCGATGCTCCAACAACTACACCAGCTTCATATCCTCTTTTTTTCTCTTTCAAACCAACTAAGCCCAACTAGTGCTGCACACATGAAGGCGACGGTAAGGCCATTCATGGGAGCCTGGGTAATCTACAGTGGCTCAGTGAGCAATGAATCCCCTTCTACCAGCAGCCATCACCTGCTGTAGTTCCTTAGCCAGGAACAAAGCCTCTCAGACCCCTCCCCTAACCATGCTCCGATGTTGGTTGGCTTGATCTTGTTCAGGTCTTGTGCAGGTAATCTCTGATGCTGAGCGCCTGAGTACAATGGCCATGTTATGGCCAGAAGATGGCACTTTATAGCACTCTTCCCCGTTATTTATGCTGTTTCCTCTTTTGCAATGTTGCATTAACCTTCTCCTGCATTTATTTCCCTCCCTCTTCCAGAGTCCCTCCTCCTCCATATCCCGTATCAGGTCATTACTTGTATCTTGTCATTCCCCTTTACCTCCCTCCCATCTTCTTCTGTATTTACCTCCGTTCCTTTCCCTAATCCCGCCTCTGCCCATCTTCCTGATTATATCACTTGTGCTAGGCTATTCCCTTCTCTATTGCTTCCCCACATGCCATATCCTGGCAATGATTCCATTTTTTATTCCTGGTTTCTGTAGTTACTACTATATAATAGTGTATAGTATGTAATATACTGCTATATGCTTATATCTCAAGATTTGGAGTTAGGAGCCACTGATAAAAGAGAACATACAGTGTTTGTCTTTTGGGGCCTAGGTTACCTCTCTCAATAGTATCTTTTCTAGTTTCGTCTATTTACCTGGAAAGTTCATGAGTTCTTTTTTCTTGTAACAGAAGACTTGAGTTCCAGGCAGACTGTGAGCCTGTAGCTTAATTGTTGACTTGTTGGGTCTACTTTTTTGGTTTGTTTTGAGCAGTCACCTTAAAGCTAATTAAGAATAGCTGCTTGTTATCAGCATTTCTAACTGCAGCCCATGGGCTACATGTGGTCCAGGAGAGTTACAAATATACCCTAAATGCAAAATAATTAACTTATTTAAAACATTATAAGACATGAAAATATTCATAATGCTACTGTGGACTTTCTGAGTGTCAACTTTGTAGATGACAACAATGTTAAAAGCTTGGGTATACCCACTGAGATGTTTAATAAAAGATAAGTATCGTGTTCTTTATATCACTAAAAACAACTCATGTTTCTGATGTCTGCAGCCAGTTTTGTTTGGGATGATGTACCAACCAGAGAAATGGGACTAGGAACACACACACACACACACACACACACACACACACACACACACACACACACCTGTGTGTATTTCAAGAGATTTCTTTCAAAAATTTAGCTGATCTGATCACTCTGGGTAGATACAGAAATCTCCAGCTCTGCCCTCCTTGGAGCAGGCTGTGAGGAAGTAGATGCAAGCTCTCAGATATGAGCTGGAACTTCCATTCTTAGATGCAATTCTCCAGGGAAGCCTCAGTTCTTTTTCAACCTTTCAACTAACCGATTGTCTCCTGCTTCAACCACACCTGCAAAATTGTGTCCCATCAATTCCTATTAGTGTTTGAGTGATTGGCATCCATAACCCAGTGAAAATATCATAGAGATGGACCACTGTGGATAGTAAGTGGTAATCTTTGTATATGGTGAGATATAGAGTATGGAAGACAGTGATTGGATAATAGAGTTTTCCATTAAAGTGACCCATAAACCAAACAACTTGAATACTGTATCTAATCACATCAATATATTTGATGTCACATAATTATGGCATATAATTTCTAAGAATCCAGGATCTATTTCTCTGACAATAGGTTATTGCCTTTGCATATGTATTTAAGGTGGTGTGACCCTCTGTCATTTAAAGGCAAGGGAACCTTTCTGTTATATAGATAGGTGACGTACCATTTCCTTCCCTTCTTGTTGCTACTTGACTTGTAGCCCAGACTTGATTTTCTAATTCATCCCTTGCTTGTCTGTCATGGCAAATGCTTTGTTACATTAATACAGTTCTATTTTTTCAGTTATGAATAATGTTTCAAGCCTTAATGCAGCTGTTGAAAGTCCCACATTACTGATCTAGGTATTAACACCATAGGAGTTAAAGTCACGAGACAATTTTATGGGGATAATTTCTTGGCAAAGTTAGATTTTGTGCTGAAGTCCTGCTGGGTGCTGCACACATTGATAGATGGCCCACTGCTTAATAGGACATCTCACTGTTCATGTATGTGAGGAATAGGTGTGCTAATGAGAGACTTAGGAGAAAATCCTGCTTTATTGTTGTAGGTTTTTGCATGAGGAGTTTCCCTCATTCTGTCGTTTTGCTATGGCATTTAAAAAAGTGTCTTTTGCCAAACGACTGAAAGTAAGTATCTAATATTTTTGTGGCATCCTGTGAAAGTGTTTCCTAGGAGCCTGGACTGAATATTTAAGAATAACACAATAGAGAGAGGAGTTTTTCAGTGACTGGTGTGGTGTTGAAAAACTAGGAATCCAGAGTCCAAAGTTGTGCTAATTTGGTCTACATGGATAGTATTTTTTAAAAATATACATGAGAATGAATATATATTATATTTATATATTTTATATTTATGATTATAGTTTATTTTATGTACATATACATAGATTTTTCATGTGTGTGTGTCTTTGCCTATGTGTGAACATGTATGTGCAGGTTTGAGGCTGATGTTGAGAGACTTCCTGATTGATCATCCTCTACTGTAGTCATTGAGTCAGAGTCGGTCAGTCAAACACAGAGTTTGCTACTGAGCTTAGTCTAGCCGGCCAACTTGTTCTGGGAATCCCTTGTCTCTGCCACTTTGACATTGGATTTAGAGATGTGCCATCCTGCCCTCCTAACATTTACGTGGGTTCTGGGCATTCAAACTCTTGTACCTATGATTGCATGACAAGTGCTTTAGCCCCTGAGTCATTTCCAAGCCCCACATCATGTATTTTGAGCTTGAATCAATGTATCAGCCCTATATATCCTAGTTCATTACTGTCGCCAAGATTCCACATCATTTTCCACCTGACTGCTCCAAGTGGGTCCTACATGACTACTCTGGAAAGTTATCCAAAAGGTTTAGTGGAAATGTAGCAGCAGACAGACTGTGTGTGTTGATGGCTTCTCAGAGCAGATGCTATACAGCTCATCTGAGGGGCTAAAGAGATTAGACATCTTACCTGGGGTGGTGATGTCAGGGCTAAAGGTGTGGTTTGGGAGAAACCTGTTGGGTTTGCTTTGTCTGATGACACTAAAGGTATAGAATCAGATGGATAGGATTTTAAGACATATTGGTGAGGAAAGGAAAAACAAGGAGAAGGATTGGAGGCAAAAGGAGAGAGGATGAGAAAGAAAAGCACTACGTTTCTTATATGGGTACTGGGCATTGGACCCAGGTCCCTGTACTTACAAAGCAAGTGTTTTATCAACTCAGATATTCCAAGACTTGGTTTAATACTTTTATCTTTCTTATTTGTTTGTTTGGTTTTATTTTTGGGTGGCGTTCAAGACAGGGCTTCTCTGTATAGTCTTGATTGTCCTGGCACTCACTCTGTAGACCAGGTTGACCTCAAACTCACAAAGATCTGCCTGCCTTTGCCTTCTGAGTGCTGGGATTAAAGCTGTGCACCACCACCTGCCATAGCCATTCTTTATATTCATATTATTAAGGAATAAGAAGTATTAAACCAGGTCTGTGTGGTATATCAGGTTATAAAGAACTTGCTTTGTAAGAACAGGGACCTGTGTTCAATGTCCAGTTCCCACATAAGAAAGTGTAGTGTGGTGATGTATGCTTGTTATTGTAGGGATGGGTCAACCAGTGCAACTGAATTGGTGGTCTCTTGGCCAATGAGAAACCTTGACTTAAAAAAGGTAGATTGCTAAGGTCATGTTCAACTTCCTTAGCAGTCAGGGAAATGCAAATCAAAACAATTTTGAGATAGCATCTTATATCTGACAGAATGGCTAAAATAAAAAACACCAATGTTAACCTATGCTAGAGAGAATGTGGAGTAAGGGGAACACTCATCCATTGCTGGTAGGAATGCACACTTGTGCAACCACTTTGGAAATCAGTGTGGTGGTTTCTCAGGAAATTGGGAGTCAACCTACCTCAAGATCCAGCAATACTACTCTTGGGACTATACCCAAAAGATGCCCAATCATACTACAAAAGTATTTGTTCAACTATGTTCATAGCAGCATTATTTGTAATAGCCAGAAACTGGAAACAACCTAGATGCCCCTGAATGTAAGACTGGGTAAAGAAAGTGTAGAACATATACATATCAGAGTACTACTCAGTGGTAAAAAAAGCAATGACATCTTAAATTTTGCATGCAAATGGATGGAAATAGAAAACACTATCCTGAGTGAAATAACCCAGACCCAAAAAGATGAATATGGTATGTACTCATTCATTAGTGGACTCTAACCATAAACAAAGGACATTAAGCCTATAGTTCATGAGCCTAGAGAAGCCAAATAATAAGGTGAACCCAAAGAAAAACATATATAGATCCTCCTGGAAATTGGAAGCAGACAAGATCACTGGGCAAAAGTTGAGAGCATGGGAGTAGGGATGAGCTGGGGGGAAGGGGAGAGGGGGAGAGAGAAGGGAGAAGGGAAGGATTGAGGAGAGCTTGGGGAAGTGGGAGGGTTGAGATGGAGGAAGGGTGGATATAGAAGCAGGGAAGAAGATATTTACATTAAGGGAGCCATTTTAGGGTTGGGAAGAGACTTGGCTCTAGAGGGGATCCCAGATGTCCACGGGGATGTCCCCAGCTAGGTCCTTGGTCAGCAGAGGAGAGGATGCCTGAACTGGCCTTGTCCCATAGTCGCACTGATGAATATCTTGAAAAAAGGTGGATTGCATTCCTAAGAATGACCTGATGTCCTTCAGCTTCCACATGCATGGCCACACATGCATGTCCACCAGCAAACGCAAACAGACAAACACGCATGAATAAAATATTAAGCCTACTTTTATTTCACATAATAAGCTAGTAGTATTTTTGAGTACAGGGACAACATTTATCCATCATGTGGGCATATTGTCTTTGCGGATGTTATTATTATACGTTTTGTTCCTGTGGTCTTGATTGTTGTGGTTACCATTGGTTAATTTCTCTAGCTCAAAAGATATGAAATATAATGTATTTGAAATGTTTTTTATTGCAAATTTAGATTTGGATGGAACCAGCCAACTCAGTTATTCTGAGATTCTGTCTTATGAAGATCAGCCCATATCTACTCTCTCACAATCTCCCTGTGAGAGCAGAAACACCAGACACCATGGTCCTTGTCATCAAGAGACTGGCATGGTCCGAAGCCTCAGCCGTCCTTGTGTGGAGAGCGTCCTGGAGGCAGAGACTGTGTTTACTAATCGGAGCTTTGAAGATTCCTATGCCACTCATAGCTCCTCTGTGTGGAGCCCAGAGGCGAGTTGTTGGCTTTCTTTCCTTTTTGGCAAGTTTTTTCTATCCTTTGTTTCAGTACCATGCACTCACTCCCCCTACCCCAATCAGATGTCTCCAGACAGGAAGTATTGCCTCGTCTAGAAAACCTTCTATTTGAAACAAATTTTTGTCTTGGTGATCAGAGTCTCTGTGAATGGCAATAAAAGATTCACAGATACATTCTTTAAAAATGGAAGGAGAAGAAGAAGAAGGTTGGCAGGATGGAGAAGGGCTGTCAGGGAATAAACTGTCACGGGGTTGTTTTCATATGAAGCGGCTTGCAGATATTCGGAGAGCCTGACGACTTTCCCTTGTGGAAAAGTGGATGATATTTTATTTCACCCCAAATCTTCAGCTTTGATTGCTAAAATAAAACTTACTGGATAATTTAACTAAAGTAAAATGTCCCTCAAAATGAAAGTACACATGAAATTGTAATGAGAATCCTTATAGATTTGAATTGCGTTGAAGGTCTGGGAGGTAGCAATGAGGGTAAAAAATACTCTGGCCATTGATGTTGCTTTTTGTAATAAACATTTGATGGAAGATGAAACTTATGGATCTATTTTCCAATTAAAGCTTGTCTGTTATGTCAGAGTAGGACTAATAGTGATAACGATGGCAGCCATGATTGAGAGGGACACCAGCTCCTACAGTCAAGGGTTTTACATACATTGCTTTATCTCCTAGGCATTTCTGATTGTTCTTCGTGAGCTCCACACATTCTATGATTCCCTGATATTAAGAAGCATTAGCTAGCGGTATTTAATATCTAATTCGAAATCAGTTTAGATGCAACTACTGATAAACACTGAGTAGTCAATATTCATATGACCCATATGATATGAGGAGACACACGTATAGAATGAATTGATTACGACAACCAGAGGAAATAAGTGGGGTGAATCTCTCTAGAAGGACCCAGAAGTGTCATCATGAATGAATGCTTAAAGAAATGCAAAAGAAAAATTGTAGAAGATCATGTTCCAAAGCCTTGCTGTTTTCATGTGGGAAAGACGTAGGGTGTGTGTAGGAATTCCTGTGTACACATGATTGCATGCATGTCCTGCCGCCTCTGTGATGCTGTTTCTGCTGAGAGCCAAAAATGGAAACTCAGATACCTGGTTTATGGCTTGTTAGAGTCTATCCTTACCACACAGGCACCCAAAGCCACTGGCTTTCATCAGTTTTGTTAAAACCAAAAAGAGACAGAAACAAAATGCAAGTCTGCTCTCCTATGGTGTCACTGCTCAGCGTCAAATCAAATCCCACACAATATTTAAAAATATTCCCTTTGTCTCCCTCGCTGCAAAAAACAAACCAGAACTATTTACCTGCCTGCTGGTAACTCTGTCTCCCCGATAATGGTGCCATTAGGTTCGGACCTGCCTTCTCCACGTAAACTCCCATTTCCCTGCCTCCTGGTGCTTTAATAGATGACTTATGCTGAGGGTACTGAATGTTCTCAGACTCCAAAAATATCCAGACAGCTCCGTGTGTGCCATTCAACCTCCTATCTATTTTGAGACAAAAACTGTAATTTGGTGCTCCTACTGTAGAACTTCAGATCCAGCCAAGGCAGTTCCCGTAACTGGCTGCTCTGCGGGCGTAGCTTGCCTCTTAAGCATTGATTTATTTGTCTCTTAGCTGTGTTAAGAACCTTGTCTTCCCTGGTGTATCTGGCATCCAGAACGTATCGTGGATCCATTTACTTTGGGCCACAAGATGACATCAACACTATCTTACTAAAAACAGGAAGCCTTTTCAGTTTGGCAGAAAATCTTTAAACTTACGGGGGTTTTGACAGTTTGATGCAAGCATTTCCACCTTAAAGGGGAAAATCAGGACAGGGGAGCTCAAGGAATCATTTATTTTGTCTCAGAAGGAAAGCACTCATGCGGTGTGGCTACCTGTTATGATCATGGATTTTCTAGTTTACCCTCAGCTGGCAAAGACCATTGACTTTCTCCTGCAGACCTAGGGCTTGGTAGGAGAAAAAAGAATGGGAAGGTGGCTGGAAATTTCAAACGTACAGAGAGAGCCAGGTGTCCCACTTTTCTTCTCTGCTTTCTACTGATTAATTGGTTGGCCTTGAGAAGTTAATTAAAATCTGCCAAATGGGGATAAGAAGGAAGAGAGTTTTACCTTGCAGGAAGGTCAAACAGATTAGCAGTATTAACAGTTCCCATACAAGGAGCTCCTTTGGTGGCCTGGTGATAGGTAATGTGTGTTGAAATAATTAATTGCTATGAAAATACAAACCTCCACAAATCTCTGTCTCAGATCAACCCAGGGAGAGGCCGCGAAGCCCAGTTTTCATGAGCAACAGCTGGGATTGGCCCACTGGGAGCCCAGCTGCTGCCTGGGGCTGTGCTTCCCCCGGAGTTTTCAGAGGAGTTGCAGTAGAGCTCTGCCCAGGACTCCTCAGATGCCTGCAAGTGCAGGGAGCATTACGGATAACTCGATGGATGTGCTGGGAGATCCTTATCACCAGGGCATTTTACCTTGGCATTGGAGTAGATGGTGAAGCTAGTGACTCCTGCCTAATGCCAAGTGCAGAAACCTGAAATGGAATGAATTTATAGTACTGTCATCCAGCTTTCATCCCTACTTCCTTCCATCCTCGTCTCACACACAAGGCATATAGGAGCATCTACAGCGAAAAGTTTGGCAGCAAGAAGTAGGCCATGTGACTTAACCCAAGGTTTGAGATTTTTGACTATCCAATACTAGGTAAGGTATGCTGTGACCCTGGGATTCGAAGAATATTAGATACAGAGCCCATTTTAGCTTTGGTTTCCTTTCCCATGCAGTAAAGATGCTAAAATAATAGCTCATTAGGCAGATATTAATATCAGAAAGCACAGTGTTTCCTAGTTGGGTTCCCCAGTAAGACGGAGCCAAAGGTGAAGGCTTTTTTTCCCCTACCTTGCTATTGAGTGCATTCTCAATGAATGGGGGGGGGCGAGAAAAAATGTTACAGAAGAGAATGTGCCATTGAGTTGGTCACCACCCAGTATTACCAATTGCTTTATCCCGTGGGGACATACTTCAAGAAATTATAACCTGCTCTCAAGTCATCTTGCCAATGGGAGGACATTTATTGCATGGAGTATTAATGAGGGTACATTCTGGTCTTTTGAAACTTGGTGGGAAGCAGAATACTTTCTAAGTTTTGGTACCAATGGACCAATGATGAGAGCTGAGCATTATATTTTATGAAAAGAAGGTAAGAGTTTGCTGGGTTGTTCCAGGCTGCAGTTTCTTAGAGCCCAGGTATGATGTGCCTGTAGAGGAAAATGGAGCAAGATTTGAGTTCAAGGGAAGTCGAGGTGTGCAAGAACTGCCTTTTAAAGTCTGTCGCAGACTTGATGTGGTACCTGACATTAAGGACTTAAAAGAGGCTAACTATTCTGATTCGCATCTAGGCAGGCCAGGTAGATGATCAAGAGTACGTTAAACTAGATGGGAGTTTTAAGGGGAGACAGGAGCTTAAAAAAAGATTCTGCCTTGGTTTTCAGTTAGCCTAACTCCTTGGAGACTCGCTTCTAATATTATATATACACTAGTCAGTTGTATTCAGAAGTCTCTATAGCAACGACTGCTATCACTTGAAACTGAGAACCTCTGAATAGAAAGGCTCATGCATGATTGTGTGCACAGGGGAAGGGATAGAAGAAGCTTCCCTTATTTTACAAGAAAGCTGAATTTTCTTGGCAGGGTAATTTGAATCTTAAAAAGGGAGGGCATTTATTAGATGTCTCCGATATGTCAAGTGCACAGCATTCCTTATGTAGTGGGTATCATCCTTATTTTACTATTGAGGGAAAATAATGGAAAGTATTCAGTAATTTGTCCAGTGTTATGGAGCTTATAAATATCTAAAGACCTGACATGTAAAGAACATTTAATTCTACAGCCCCGTGTGCTTCCCCTATGACTATGTGGGAAAGTTCTGTAAATGAATGTGCATATTGAGGTACTTTATTTTAATTTTTTGAAGCTGTCTCTGAATTAGCAACATCTAGAGTTCAATTCCACAGATAAAGAACTGATTTACTTTAAGACTGGGTTCACAGTGACACCCCTTTAGTTATAGGTAAGACACGGGCCCTCAGGGAAAAATTTTTTAAAAAATATATTGGCATAGTAATTTGTTGGTGTGGTGGTCATTACAGTAAATTGTGTTCAGTTTAGTTTTCCAGTAAGGGCATCAGATATGAATAGTTATGTGCAAAATGATGGCCAACAATGACATTCCGTAGCGAGAGAAGCATCCTTGAAAAGAGGTAACTCCATGCTAGTGTAGGGAATAGATACAGAGTCTGGTGGGAAGAGGGATTTTCATTTTTGCTGAAACGTCCCAACCATACTTTCTTAAGTAGGCATATACTAATGTACAATCTTCAGCTTGGCCAGGACCCAAAAAAACCAGTGACAGAGTTAGTATTTTAACCCAGGTTTCCTGGCTCCAGGAGTGCTTTCTGCTGACGGCTCTGACTGATCTCTTTAGCCTTTCCTTTGAATGATCGCTTAGACTGGGCTTGCTGTGGCCAACATCCCTGGCAAGCATCTTCGAAATGCAGTCTCTGGCCCCAGCCCTTGAATTAATGAGAATCCTTGAGTGACTCAGCTGGCCATTAGGGGAGAAGCTCAGCTGTTGGTCTTTTCTCTCAGGAAATCTGAAAACACACTGAAAGATCAGTTGTTTGAGGCCCCACCCTGCCCCCCACTGGGATTTTTGCCCATGGGAAGTTTCTGATTCGCAGACAGCAGTTCCAGGCTTAGCAATTACTCCCTGGGACTCAAAAGTTGCCCGTTGGCATTTCCACAGTTGGTAGTTGACTTAATTAGGGACTTCATATCTCAGTTGGCTTCAACCATAGTGGGCACTTGTACTTTTTCGTGAGGCAGTGCACATTAACGCAACTTGAAAGATGTGTCTCATTCATTTATTTTTTTAAAAAAAAACATGCTCACAAACTTACCCTATGCCAGGTACTGTGTCCTACACAAAGTCCCAGTTTGGAGAGAGGGGCTTAGCACTCAGACCTTTTCTAACATAGACGAAGACCATGTGTTGGCAGTCAGAAAGCTTGGGAGGCAAGGAAGCTCTGAGGGGTAGCGCCCTGCTAACAACCTAAAAGTCATCATCATTTCCCATCCTCCTTTTTTGTTTTTCCCCTCTGCTTGTAACAGCAGCAGGACAGGACCAGCCTGCAGGTGCCACCCAAGCTCCTGGAGCCTATCTCAAAGTGCGGTTACCTAGATATCATCTTTGAATATAGAGCTGTAACCCAGAAGCTCACCGTGACCATTGTGAGAGCACAGGGCCTTCCAGATAAGGACCGGAGTGGTGTCAACTCCTGGCAAGTCCATGTAGTGCTGCTGCCCAGTAAGAAACAGAGGGGCAAGACTAACATCCAGAGAGGGCCCAATCCCGTCTTCAAGGAGAAGGTCACCTTCACCAAGCTGGAGCCCAGGGACGTGGCTGCCTGTGCCGTCCGATTCCGCCTTTATGCTGCCCGTAAGATGACCCGAGAGAGGATGATGGGAGAGAAGCTGTTCTGTCTCAGCCACTTGCACCCAGAAGGGGAAATGAAAGTGACTCTGGTTCTGGAGCCAAGAAGTAATATAAGTGTGAGTATCTTAAATGGTGTTGCTGCTGATGTGATGTGTTCAGAGACCTGGGAATGCCTGCCCTTGATTTACAGTGTTCGGCTTGTGGATTCATAGATGTTAATTTAATTGTACATTTGGCTCTCCTCCTCGTTAGCAAGCCACGTTTGTGCTTCAGGCACAGTGGGTCTTCCAAGCCTGTCATCTGGTAACTTGATGGATATATTCTCCACCCATTTTGGGAAATGATAGTGGCAGCATGGTAGAGGGCATGGGAAGACCTGGAGAGGCTTTTGACTTCGTGGATAACCATTCCTACTCCTCCCATTCCCAGGATCCATTATAATGATTCTCAGACATGGTACTGTTTTACTGTTCTTTTCTTGAAACAAGAGTCATACTATGCAACCCGGTCTGGCCTCAAATTCATCTGTCTCTCAGGATGCCCTCCAACTCATGATTCTCTTGCTGCATCTTCCCAAGCGCCAGAATTACAGGTGTGTATGCCTGAACTTGTTGAGGCAAGGCTTCCAACAAGCACTCAAAAGCATCCTACAACAGCAACCCCGAATGCCTGACACTTCCGAGACCGTCTGTTCTTATGACTGGTCTCCTACTGTGTGCCTTACTCCTAGGGCTTCAATAGCTTGGAGACCTGAGAGGTGGACGGCCCCGCTGCTGCTTTTGGTTAGTTGTCATGTGATGTGAAGAGCTCCTTCTACAAAACTGTGTAGAAAGAGCAGGCAGTTGTGGTTAGTCAGCCAATCAGTCATCCATCCGGAGATGGTTCCTGGCGTGTGCTACATAAGCCAAATAGCTTACAGAAGCAAGGAGACAGCTATTGTCCCTTAGTCTAGTGGAGGTGGGTGTTGACAGGCAGGCCTCGGTAAACAGAGCTGGCTTTGAATGGCCAGGAGAGGGTTCTTTTGAGATGGTGAAAAAAAAAAAAAAAACCCGAAAAGAACCCACATAGCTCAAACAATTGAGGGAACAAGACTGGTGACATGTGTGGGTGGATTTTCAAGACTAAAGGAGGGGCACACACAGACATCGTGGAGGGAAAAAAAAAAAGCGTTTCAGGAAGGTCCATCCACCTGAAGTTCTAAATCTGCCTGGACATCTTTATATTGGAAATCCTCATTTTCGCCTCTCTAAATCTATGCCTCCTACTGTCTTCTGATACCCGCCTGCTGGCAGGCTCGCCTTTCCAGTCACCAGCTCCAGAACTGTAGCGCTCACCCATGACCTCTCTCTCTGAAAGCTGTGCTTTCTCTTTAGATATAAGCAGAGCCTGGCTCTCTGGTGGGCGAGTGGAATAGTCCCCCGCTGGTGGCCTCTAAATCTCTGCTGTCTTCTGACCCAAGGGTTAGAATGAGCTCAAGAAAGCGCAAGCCAGATCACATCTCATGCCTACCCAAATCCTTCCTTGACTTCAAATCATGAAGTCATACAGAACAGGATTCAGAGAAGAGTCAAAAAGAGACCCTGCGCTGTGAAGCCCAGGCATGAGTATGGCCCCACCCATCCTTGTGCTCTGGATTGGGGGCACAGGCTGATGGGGAGAAGGAGCCAGTGTGAAGGAAGAAATTATCTCACTTATATCTACGGTTGAGCATGGTTATATGCCAGATATGCATCTATACAGGAGGAGCTACTGAGTAACGGGTACGGATTTAAGAACTTGGTAGGGGTAGGGAAGCAGTACTATGAGAGGCACCACGGTAGAGGTTTCTGTCGAGGTACAAGGATGGGCACCCTTCCTCCCAAGGATGCAAAGGCTTCTTTGTTGTACTTCTAACTTCTGGGCATCAAAGCCTGTAAGGCCCCTGTTGAACCCCCTAGCCATCCTGCTTACAAATCATGATCCATGAAAACTCGGAGGCTCTTACAGAAACACACAGGACTGGTTAAGATGATGCCTTCTCCTGGACATGCACAGCGTTTGATGCCTTTTATTGTTCTTGCCTATTGAGATGCTGGCAGGAAGTTTTAGAATATAACTTCAGACAAAGAGTTGAGATAAGTCCCAAGGCATTTGTGTCCCGCAGAGGAAGCGGTTTGCTAGAGGGACCGCTGGCTTGCTCTAGCCAGGCTGATGCTTGCTCATGCTCCTTAGTGAGAATCAGTGTCTTCATCTATCTTGTTCTCTTTGTGATGTGTCTGGTGCATAACAATGGCACTCAGAAGTGTGCACATGAATAAACATGAGAAAAGAACTCAGGCTCTCTCCTCGGTTCACCTGCTGCTGCCCGGGTCACCAAGATCCATAGTCCATTGTATCTGATCCTCTACCAAATATCAAATAGTAAAAGTGATCACTTCCTGTGTAACCTTTTCTTCCCATAGGATACAAAAGTTCCTATATGGAATACACTTCCTTAGCAGCTGAACCAGACACCAGATGTTTCATATACTGGCCAATACCCAGTGCACATTTCTTTTACCTTTGAGACAAAACATCTTCTGTATTGCCTTATTCATCAAGAGTGAGGAGAACAGAGATAGAACTCAGGCCTGGAGTGGGTAGGTTCCACAGAAACATTCAGGAACAAATTACACAGGAGGGAATCTTGGCCTATATTAAATGTATTATTCACACTCCATGTATCTTTGAAGGTTTGATTTACACTAGCAATAACATCTTTGTCCGTTCTCTCTTTAGAGAGGAAATATTGAATGGAGAGTACTCTTGGAATAAATATGTCGGCTAGTACCATAGGCCATCTCATACATGGCTGCTTTCCCCAGCACATTGTAATTCACACTGAGTGCCCATTAGTAGTCTTTGGCAGTCATTAAGGCCGGGTCACAATTTCACCAAACATATCAGCTTTCTCTCAAAGAGAGGGGCGCAGCATGGGCCAATGAACTCTTTGTGTTCTTCCCCTCCAGAGTGGAGAGTCTCCGCTTAGCCCATCTGTGGTGTCTCACAGTGACAGTGCTTCATCCACACAGTCCCTGTCTCATGGAGGGGTGCCAGAGCTGTTGGTGGGACTGTCCTACAATGCCACAACAGGGCGATTATCTGTGGAAATGATCAAAGGCAGCCATTTCCGCAACCTCGCTGCTAACCGAGCTCCTGGTAAGTATGTGTCTGCTCCTCTAGCTCTGGTATCTCCAGAGGCAAGGGAAAGGCCTTGTCTATTTCATCTTAATTCTTCATTTTTTATGGTAAAAAATAGACTTGGTATTGCTTGGGCATGCTTTCATGAAGCAATACCTCTGGCTTTCTTAATGGCTTCTATTTAATTAGAAGAAAAACTTCTATGCGATCTAAATATATCTTGACGTGATTTAGAATGATCTGTGTGTCTATATTTCCAGAAATGTAAGATGCATGGGAATTGAAGTCTGCCAATATTTTACAGGTTGTACAGAGGCAGAACCCTGACTTTGGAGGGAGGCAGACAGCTGGGGTTTAATTTCAGCACTATCATTACCCATTCATTTTGCTCTGATCTTGCACAGTCTTCTGAACCTTTCTTGATTCACCAGGAAAAATATTAACCACTACCTTCCTGATAGGAGTGCTATGATATTTAAATAAGTAAATTTATATGAAGGACTTAGCATAGTGCTGAATGTACACCGAGCACACGGAAATGTTAGTAGCGGTTATACGGTAAAGGGCATAGATCTGGGACAATGCAGGAAAATGATGCCTTTTGAGGACACTATTAAGAAGAAATGCTCATGACAACCCTTCCCTTCCCTTGGATGGAAGTCAGGGTTCAGGAAGAGTCAAATAACCGCTGCTACCAGTTTCTTCACCAGCCCTTCAAACTAAGAAGTTGGATAATGGACGTTGAAACAATACTGTTACAAAGTTACTTCATTTTTTTAAAGATCTTAGTTACCTGATAAAGAAGATTTGGAAGGCTGGGTGGTGGTAGTGCCCACCTTTAATCCTAGCACTTGGGAGGCAGAGGCAGGCAGATCTTTGTGAGTTTGAGGCCAGCCTGGTCTATGAGAGCTAGCTCCAGGACAGGCTCCAAAAGCTACAGAGAAACCCTGTCTTGACAAAAAAAAAAAAAAAAGATTTGGAAGATAAACTTTGACTTTTGGGACCTCGTGTAGATACATAGAGGAACATAATTTGCATCTGGAATGCTAGCTGCAAGAGAGTCATAAACACGCTGCAGAATTATTTCTAGTCTCTCTGAACGAGAAGGTGAATTTGAAGGTGAGAAAGTAGAAAGGAAGAAATCTGCTTCCCAGGGGAACTAGAATCTCATTAACAGAATGACAAAATCAATACAAAGCTGGCAATCGATGAGCCTTGGCTTCACATGGGAGAACAAGGTGAGAAAGTTCCTATAACTGAATCTGAGACTTTCATTCCCCCACCCTTTTGCTGCACTGTAGACTACCAAACATCTGTTGTAAGTGGCTGTCTTGCTAGCCAAACTTTTAAAGAGAACTAAGGAGCTAGCTCAGCTAGATAAGTCTTGGCTTCATAAGTACGAACACCTGAGTTCAGTCCCCATAACCCATGTAAAATGGTGGGACACGTGTAGCCTCAGTACTGGGAAGGAGACAAGAGGATCCCTTGGGCTTGCTGGCCAGGCCATCTAGTATAGCTTAATTGGTAAGTTCAAGGGCCACGAGAGATCCTATCTAAAAAGAGGTATATAATGTTCCTGAGGGAAAGCCGAGGTTGTTCTCCACCGTTCAGATTAATGTGAATATACAAGTGAACTTGAACACACACAAATAAATATACTCCCCTCGACACACATGCATTAACAAACCATGTTAAAGCCAGCAGAGAAAGCCCCAGATCTCTGGGGAGTGGAGTAGACTGGGCAATGCATAATCCACATTCCATTCAAGCAGGTGAGAGCGATTTAGAATGTACAATAGGTATTGATTATTAATTGTACACCCAGAGACTCAGATAAACCCGGCTTTTCTTTCTACAACAACCCAGTACTTGCTAAGATCCTGATTTAAGACTTCTCCCCCGGAGCACCTGCCAATCTCCTTTACCCTGGTGCTGAGATCTGGTACTAGCTGAACAATATTTGGGCAACGTGATGGAAATGCAAAGAGCGATGAAGCTGTGGACCTTAGTCATGGCCCATTCAGGTCCGAGTTAGGAAGCTCTCCTCTGTGTGCGGGTGGTATAGCCAGTCAGGGAAGGAGTACAGCATGGTAACTGGGAAAGAAGCATCTAGAAGCTAACAAACCACACTGGAAATTCAGGTTCTCCTAATTATTAGCTGTGAGTTATTAAGCTATTCTGAATCTGTTTTCTCATCTGCAAATAATATATATTTTTAGGTGTGGATAATACACACAGAGCTGTGATACTGAAGGCTATACCATTGTATCTTTGTATAATTCTATTTTAAAAGTGTGCCCAAAGAAGAAATTATTGTAATAAGAATTTAAACCTGAATAGAACAAAAGGGTAAGTCTTAACTTGGAAATGGCTTTAATTCCGTAAGTTTAAGTTCATGTACATGAGTGTAGAATTTTTTATAGGCATAGTGTCACGACTTAACTGTGACTGGCATACTCATCTCGGAGACCAAAGCATTAGAAAGCAATGCTGTGGTGAAGCTCTTCATTAAAACCAAAACCACGCAGTGGAAACAAAGGGGCTTTTGTCTGTGTAAAATGCTGGTTGTTGAGGAAAAGCCAATTAGGAAGGGATGAGAAAGTAAAAAAATTCCTCTGTGGAGCTCCTGCAAGGGACCTCCTGGTCCTTTCAAGGACTTGAGGGGCTGACAGGCTTAGCTGTGCATTACGGCACGGTCACTAACGATGCTGACATCTGTTAGGTGAACTTCGGTTATGGTATTTGGTGGTATGAGGTAACTAACTGAGCAGAGATGGAAGAGGTGGAGAAAGAAAGAGGATAGGAGTCGATCGATAAATGAGCTGTGGGTGAGAAACGGCAAGAAGGGTGCGGGCAGCACGGCTGACCACCAGCAGGAGACGGCAGCCCGGGAGCCCTTGCCTGTATTAGTGGATGCCCACGGGTCTGCCTGTTAGGGGAGAGGTCTGCCTAAGAAATGTACATGGGCGGGGTCACAAAATGCTGCTCTTAAGGCTCTCAGCTCAGGTGCCTCCACGCCTCTGTGAAAAGGGAACGAGTGCCTGCCTTGCAGGTGGCCATGATTGTGAGCGGTGGTGCTTGGGTGGGGAAAAGGCTGAGCTGGAACATGGGGAGCTTCTCTTCTTCACAGCATTGTTAAGGGTTTAACTTGAGGAAAAAAAAGACAAAGGGTGAGGTTTAGACGTGACAATCTCTTGCCTTATGCTGTATCATAAAACAAAAGACCTTTGAACTTGCTGATTTAACCCCGTCAGAAGGTTGCTGTGGTGTCTTAATTTGTTTTCTCCTTAAGCAAAATAGGCAATTTAGAAAACGAGTAGATGGAATTATTTTCCTTTAGAAGAGCCCGAGAGGAAACAGGCAGCCAAGTTGTAATCAGTTCCCCCACATCGAAGGCAAAATCCTTGGTGAGGGGACTCAGTGGGCCCAGGAAAACAATGGCGGAGACATGAGTCACACCAATTATGAACCATGCCAATCAGAGTCTCCTTAGCCTTCGTTTATCACCAAATGGCCCAGACCAGAAGGTCTCATGATGTGGGGAATGTATGTTCATGGTGGTCAGGGTTCTCTAGAGGAACAGAACTTACAGAATGAATCTCTCTCTCTCTCGCTCTGTGTGTGTGTGTGTGTGTGTGTGTGTGTGTGAGAGAGAGAGAGAGAGAGAGAGAGAGAGAGAGAGAGAGAGAGAGAACCATTAGAATGACTTGCAGGCTGTGATCCAGCTAATCCAACAATGGCTGCCTATGAATGAAAGGTTCAAGAATCCAGAATTTATTCAATCTGTGAGAAAGGATGTCTCAGGTGGTCTTCAGAATCCAAAGGAAGTAAACTCTAATGCCAGTGAAGGAATGGACTTCCGAGCAAGAGCAAAAACAAGTAGGCACAAAGAAAAAGGCCTGCTTTCTACCATGTCTTTTATACAAACTGCCAACAGAAAGTGTGGCCCAGATTAAAGATGGATCTTCCCATCTCAAAGATCCAGATTAAAACTCTTCCCACTTCAAATGATTTCATTGAGAAAAATACCTCTCATGTGTGCTCAGCCATTTGGGTTTTAGTTAATTCTAGAGGCAGTCAGGTTGACAACAGAGAAAAGCTGTCACAGTGGGAATATAGGCTGAAACAGTCACTTTGACCACCTGGAAGTTTCTTACCTAATTTGGCTGCTCTGACATTCCAGCCGTTTCTTCCATAGCATCAACCTTAAGCCAAAAACAAATAAGAAAGTGTGTATAGTACTTTTGCTGGTCAGAAATGCTGTAATTGCCCGTAAAGTGGTATAGACCGGTCTACAACTCTTCCAGGGGAAAAGGAGAGTCCAGGTCTGCAGCTGGAGGACAGGTGAGAAAATAAGACCTGGTATCTGGAAGCTCTCTGAAACCCCCATGTTCTTTACAGATTCCTTTGCATAAGGTGTCAATCAGTACCAGTCAGAAACATTTGATTGTCTTTTGAACTTGGTTTCCTGGAAAAGCAATTCACTTGAGGTTTAACACATCTCCTGTGGTTAGCGTAGGCCTGCCACCCGGTTATTGCTTGGCCTTGACATTTGATTGAACTTCTCCGAATTTAATTTCCTTCTCTATTAAATAAGATTAACAAAGGGACTCCACAGACACGCAAGCGGTGACATCTTTTGAAGACGTCATCTATTCTGCTGGCGACTTCTCTTTCTCCATCTCCGCTCTGCCTTCATCGACAGTGTGTCTCCGCACTGTGCGCGGATGTGTACGTAGCCACATACAATGGGGCTTGTCAGAAGCTATCATTAAGACATCCCCTCCAGTTAAAGCCAGCAAGCACCCCAGCTTCTCAGCGTGCGCACGATTAGCCACGTGTGATAATTACAACCCAAATGATAATACTTAACAGCAGCACTGTATTAACCTCATTAGGCCTGACAATAGCAGAGTAGAGGAAAGAAAAACAGAAAAGCAAACCTATGCTGCCTGGTGCTGGCTGTGAAGACGTGAAAGCGAAGGGCGCAGTATAGAAATAGAGTGCACAGGGGAAAGGCTTCAGTGAAAACGGGTATGCATGGGGCCTAGGCCTTCTTTGAGAACCATTTTAGTTAAACTAAAACTTTCGCAGCCACTGTGTGCTTATAAGGGTGATCAGTTCTTATGAAGACTGAGATATGGTGCTAACTTACCAAGTGCCTATGTGATTCTTCTTCTGGAAAAGCTCAGTTGTCACAATAAAGTCAGAAATTATTAAAAGTGGCCTGGAAGTATATTAAGTCGATAGAATGTATGCCTCGCACGCACAGAGCCATGAGTTCGGTCCTCAGGGCAGCCTCAGTCAGGAATAGCAGTGCATATACTTGGTAGAAAATGACGAGTCGTCATCTGTCACATGGCAAGTTCAAGCCAGCCAGAGAGACACAAGCTTAGTCAAATGAAAAAATCTTAAAAGGAGCAGGAAAAGGCAGCATTGTGTGTCAATTCTATCTGAATAAAGACATTTAAAAACCATGGTTACTGATAGAGGAATGAGAGTAAACTAACTGAGGAGATGTACTTCTGAACTAATACTGAAGTCTGACAAGATAAACACTCAACATGCCACCTCATTCTTTGAACAAAAGAAAAATCGACTTTATCTTGAATGCTGAACAGGATTAATCTCTGAAAGAATACAGAATACTGTATTTCAGGGAGAAAGAGGAGGTAGAGTGAAGTAGTGGATGCAAGAAGGAGTAATGAAGAAAGGAGCGGACAAATACGTAGAGGGGTGTGAGTCCGCATGGTTTGTGTCAGACAAAACAGGAGCAGTAGCAAACAAGGCCAGTGTTGGGAATCAAACAGCAGAGCGGAAGTCAGATCTGAGGCAGATGTAACGTGAAGGATGGGAAGAGAGTTGGCAATCAAAGGATTCTAAGATCTTCATTTGCTTAAGAGATGATCACATATGGTTGAATGCTTTTTGACAAAGATGTTTAGATCACTTAGCGGTATATGTATATTTATTAATGGGGCTGGGGAAACTGAATGCATTCAAGAGAATGAAGTTGAATTCATACCTAACATCATAAACAAAAGTCAACTTGGAAAGGATCAAAGACATCAGCATAAGGCCTGAAATGCGAATTCTTTGAGGGAAACAGCGAAATCATCACACTGTTGGGCTTGGCAATGATTTCTTGTACTTGACACTAAAGGCACAGGCAGCAAAATAAACACAGACAAATGGGAATCACAAAGCAACAGCAGGGACTGGCAATATGGCGTAGTGGGTAAACCCTAGCTGTGTAAATATGGGGGCCTGAGTTTGCATCCTCAGAATCCATGAGAATTGAGCCGTGGAAGCAAAGGAACAGCAATCCCACTATTTCTATGACAAGGCAGAGGTGGAATCAAGAGCGTCTCCAGAAGCTCGTGTGTCAGATGGCCTGGTGGCACCTGTTTCAGACCAGAAGATGGGGATTGCTCTCCATGTATGTACAATGGTACACATGCGCACATATACATATCTACACATTCCCCCTCATGTGCACACAGAGATTAAAGAAAAGATGACCGTAGAATAATGAAGCAACAAAAATATGAGAAAGCATCATCATTATTTATAGAAAAAATCATGCAGAGAATATATAGATAACTCCTAAAACTCCATAACAGAAAGTATGATTTTGAAATGGGTAAGAGACTTAAGTACGCATCTTTCCAAAGAAGATATACCAGTGGCCGTCAGTAGTATGACAATATGTTCAACATCACTGTTCACCAGGAAAGTGCAATATACACAATACATTAAAGCAAGACAAGTTCAGCCTTATACAGGCAAGGGAATCCAAATATGTGTCAAACCTTGCAGACATCACACTAGGAAGTAAGGCACATGGGACTTACTGCGTGATTTTGTTCGCGTGAGACATTTAGCGGAGTGAGAGTTGTGGAGACAACCAGTAGGGCTTCATTGCCAGGGTGGAGAGGAGAGTTAGGGAGGGGAGTCAGTGTTTAATGTGCTTAGAATTTCAGGCTTTAATTTGGAGGACTTCTGGAGATGGGTGGCAGAGATGGCTTAATAACACTGTTATTCAGTCCCACAGAGAAATAGTTAAGCCAGTAGATTTTATTTTACTATTTATTGTAATATTTAATTGTAATATTGATTTAATATTCATTGTAAATAACTAGTGGGCTTCATAAGGACACTTTCATGTAAATTTATCATTGACTTTGAGCCCCACAACTTTCTGCTACTCCCCTTCTTCCTAGACCTTTTTGTTTCTACTTTCATGATATATTTACATAGATTTTTTTTTGCTCTGGGAATAGAAAAATCTAAGATTTATAAATTAAATGTAATCACTGTATTTGTCTTTCTGAGTCTGGCTTGTTTTGCTTAACAGGATGGCTTCTAGTTACGTGCATTTTACTGCAAGCAGCACAATTTCATTCTTTATGGTTGTCTTATTATTTATATATATTGCTTTTTCCTTGGGTTGGCCCTTGGGCACGGTGCAGGAGTAAACATGGTACGCCAGTGTTTCTGTGGTTTACTGATCCAACCCTTCAGTTATATGCTTGGGTCTACTTTTAGTACTCTAAGCAACCTCCACACTTATTCCCATAATGGCTGCACCAGATTACATCTCCAGCAGCGGTTTGTAGGGGTTCTCCTTTCCCCAGTCTTTTCCTTTCTCCAGCATCTGTTGTTTGTTCTCTTGATGACAGCCAGTCTGAATGCGATGACATGGAATCTCAGAGTAGCGTTAATTTCCATTTTCCTGATGGCTAACAATGTTGAACATTTTTAATGTGCTTGTTGGCCATTTCCACTTCATCTTTTGAGAACTGCCTGCTCATGTCATTAGCCCATTTATAGAGTGGGTTGTTTGGTTTCCCACTGTTTCACTGAATCCTTTGTATATTTTAGCTGCTTTTGTCAGATGTGTAGCTGGTAAAGATTTTCTTGTATTCTGAAGGCCGCCTCTTCGTTTGAGTGTTACCTTTGCTGTGCGATTTCGTGTACTCTACTTGTCAGCTTTTGGCGTCCTTTCCTGGGCCAGTAAAGTCCTTTCTGGAAGTCTTTGCCTGCACCTATACCTTGCCATGTTTCCCCGGAGCACCTCCAGTTGCAGGCCTTGCATTAAGGTCTTTGCTCCATTTTGAACTGATGTTTGTGCAAAGCTTAATTCTTCTGCATATGGAGAGCTCCGGTTTCTCCAGTACCATTTGTTGATAGAGCCTGTATTTTCTACAGTATGTGTTTTTGCCATCTTTGTGAAACATGGGGCGGCTGTAGCTGCATGGGTTTCTATCCGGGTGTCCATTCCACTCCATCAATCTGCCTGCCTTGCGGTTGTTGTTACTACAATTCCTAAGGCATAGCAATATCAGGAATGGTGAGGATTATTCTTTTTTGCCTCAGAATTACTTTTTTTAAACTTTCTAAGTACTGGAAAAATATATTACAAAGGTATCAGAGGGTATTGTAAAACCAGATTAATAGGCCACACAAGATTGATTGTTTAAACTGATGTCATGTTCAAAGAAAAATAATCAAAAAGAAGATTTTATTAAGAGACTAAGGTACGGGGAATCAGGGACTATATGGCTGCCAGATTTTGTTTATAAACTGAAATACTCTCTAGTAACGAACTTTAAAGATGATCCCTGAAAGCACAGTCTGTTTCTTCTTTGTGCCTTTCACATCATGCAACTCGATCCCATTCATTTCCCTGTCCCTTCATATCCACCCTCTGCCCTTGAAACCGCCCCCAAAAGTAAATTTAAGAGAAGAAAAAAAAGGAAAAAAATATCATTCTCATCATGGAAGCTGTAGTGTGGCACAGGAGTCATGCAGTAAACCCTTTGTCCATATATCTTTACTTACAAGCGTTTGTTGCAAAGAGTCCTTGGTTTGGTTCGAGGCCTCTGGTTTCTACTACACTACCCATGCTGGGCTCTCAGCGGGGCTCCTCTTGGATGTCCTGTTGCTGCCCTGTGTTGTGGAGATCCTGCAGCTTTAGGTCTGCTTGACTGGCCCCTTCACATGCTGTAGCAGATCATAGATGGGGTGGAGGTTGGGGTGGGCCAGCTCATAACACTGGTTCTGGACCTGGGTAGTTGCAGTCTTGATGAGCCTGCCTCCTGTCCCTTGACCTGGAGGGGAAAAGATGGTATGAGAGATTGTACTTGAATAGAAACCGTTGACTGGAGAGATGACGGAAGATGACAGTGCTGTTCACTGCCCCAACGATGGGCCATCGTTCAGGGCTCAGTCCCATTGGCCAGCCACAAACTGTCTGGAAGGCCACAGCTTTAAGTATCTAATACCTTTCACCTGGCAACCTTTAGCAGGCCTCTGTCTTGCACAAACTTTAAAAATCTATCTTTTACTGTTTGGAGATGTAAAACAATCAGATTTCTAAATACTGAAAGGTCTAAATTTTTATGCTATTTCCTCAAAGATGGTTCAGTTCTACATGAGTTGGTTCTTTTCCAAGGCTATATTTTCTCTCTTATCACCTAAATTAAGCCAATCACACCAAAATACATACTTCTAAATTCTGGAGTTTGCAGAATCTCTATCCCTAGAGTAACATGCCCATCGGGTATGTGTTTTCCCTTCTCAGTTGTACCCTCTTGGGGGTGTGGATTGCCACGCTCCTTTGTTCCTGCCCTTTGATTCATTCTTCATGAATTGGCTGTGACTTCTAAGTCAGCTCTCACACTTGCTTTTTATGAAGGCGCTATTCCTGCGGAGATTACCAGTTACTGTGTCTGTCAGATTTTTGTCTCCTCGAAAACAGAGAAGGATCTAGGTACACCGTGCCCGAGGATGTTTATTATTAAGCTCAGCCACTGCAAAGCTGGAGGGTAACCACCAGGAAATCTGTTTTTAGAAATCTGAAGCACAGACTTCACAGGACTGTTCTGTGTGTACACAGCAGAGTGTTTTTGCGGGAGTTTCATACTCACTGGACAAGACTTTTCCCGCGTCAACCATTAATGCTTCCATTTTCTACTTTCTTCTGTTTTGCTGTCTTTTGTGAGTAGCATTCATGAGTGGGGTCTTTCTGGGGTCTGACTGGCAAGAAATTAGGGGAATTAAGTTTAAAGTCTTTATATTTCTTTGGTACCAAGAGAGTCTTAGAAGGATGTACATCTACCAATATGGAGCCCAGAGGGAACTTTCTTAACCTGACAGTGACATTCCAGGTAGCTTAATAGCATAGGAGATACAGCAACAAAATAGGTAAAACTTTAAAGGAAGAAACAAAGCTAACATTATATATTGGAAATTTGATTTTTGCATTAAAGCAAGAATATCTAACAGTTTGTATGAATTTGAAGTAATATTTGTACCAAATTTGTTGTATTCAAATACATCAGAAAAAGTTAAAAGATGAAGTTTAAGAATATTAGTATTATAATGGAAATAGATCATCTGAGATCCCAAAGAACAACTTTAATTGAGAGCAAGTGAGAAAATTCTGGAAAACATTTTGGGAGAAAAAAAAACAGCAGAAGAAAACTAAATTGATAAGTTGATGGATACACCATGTTCATTGATGAAGATATTGCATATGTTGGAACAACAGATTTTCCTACATTAGTCTATATACCCAGTACAATTCCAATACAAAAAATTTTAAATGATATTTTAATCATGTATATGTGTCTGGGGGTTGGCAACTTGAGGGAATTTGTTCTCTTCTACTGTGTGGGTTTGGAGAATTGAAACCATATTGTCAGACTTGGTAACAAACACTTTCAGCCACTGAACCATTCCATTGGCCTCTAACCATGGCTTTGAGCTTGACAGGATGATTCTAAAATTCATGACCAAGAGACAATTAAAACAAGCCGAAACTTAAAGTAATTAAAAATCATGCTTTAAAGATTACATAATAATTACCCTATATAAAACTTAAAGACACGTTTTTAAACGTGACCCAGAGACTATCCAAAACTGCAGACATAATTTAAGCTGATTATAATAAATATTACCAAGCCTGAACCCTGGAGACCTACTGGACATTGTAATCTTTTGCTAAATAATGTACTAAATATTGCTTCTCATATAAAAAAAATAGATAGCTTCTTATCTCACACTAAAACATTAATTTTAGCCAGATTAAAGATCAAGGGAGAAAAATTAGAATTTGTGAAACAAAGCACAAGAGGACTACGAGGTTTGAGTAGGGTGTTCTGGTCACAAAAATCAATAAATAATAAAGCATTCCCTGGAAAGAAAGACATGTATAAACTTCATGGTCAGTTTTACAATACTAAAAAAGGTGCTGCAAAAACAGCAAGAAGAGAAGCCACTGACAGGGAGAAAATATTGTCAGTAAATACAAGCGGCAAAGATTTTTCCCTCTAGAATTTCAGGGAACAGAGACATCCATCCACATCAGTACAATGCAGACGGAATGCTGAAGCCTTTGCATTCCTTGGTTGTTACAAACAATCATCCCGTCTCTGAGAAAATGGATGAGCAAGTTGGGATTCACTGATACGCTGCAGCAGTACAGGTGGAAATAAACTCGTCTCTCCCACAAATAAAGAGAGAATACTAAAATTGAATGTTGAGTGAAAAAATATGTTTATCTGGGTACTAGCTATATTATATTCTAATTATATTTGTGTCTTCCGAGCATACAAGCTTTCTCTCAAAAGTATGTTCTTTCATAACACATTCATGTGTGGAATTGCAAGCCTCGGAGAGTACTTGACAAAGCTGGTGTCCTCCACTGAGGTGGTTTGTAATGGTGGTCTTTGGCAGGTTTTCATTTAAAGATGTTTGTTTTCTGTTCATTAACAATGTATATCTATTGTTTAGTAAAATATTAATATATTTTCATCATGAAACTGCTACATGGCTATCCGAATATGAAAATGTCTCAGGAAGATTTACACTAGAGTGTTAAATATGTTAATATACAAAAGTGCCATTAAATATATTTTGGATTTCTTTGTTTACATGTGGTAAATGTCTAAAAGCATACATTGGAAGTGATGAGCTAACTTTAGAAGTTGAACATGCCAAACAGTGCTGCTCGATATGGCTACTTTTTAGAGAGTTTGTCTATGTAGCCTTGAACCCACCATGTAAGTTTGAAGGTTGGCTTCAAACTCATAGCCTGTTTACCTTGGCCTCTCAAGTGCTGGAATTACAGATGTGAGTCATTATACCCAACTTCTTATTTCTTAAAAGACAAACAAAACCCAGAAAATATCTGTAGCAAAAGTGAAAAATGCTAGCCATCTCAAATGGGAACATGTGATATTAGTTTCTGTATTCTTATATGTATCTAAAAATGCTTTAGAAGTACTAATCTACTAAAAAGGAACAGAGAGTTAAATAGCCAACTTCCTTTCACTTGCCCTGTTTTCCAGATATTTGAGTCATACAGAACTCTGCTCTGGAGGCTTACTTTCTAGTAGTTGGCAGACAATGCCTTGAAGGCTCACTCTGCAGTAGTTGGCAGACCATCCCTTGAAGGTTCACTCTGCCGTAGTTGGTATAGCATCCCTTGAAGGTTCACTCTGCAGTGGTTTGGTACAGCATCCCTGGAGGCTTACTCTGAAGTAGTTGGTAGAACATCCCTTGAGACTCACTGCAGTATTTGGAACATCTCTGGAGGCTCACTCTACAGGAATTGGTACAGCATTCCTGGAGGCTCACGCTGAAGTAGTTGGTAGAGCATCCCTTGAAAGCTCACTCTGTAGTAGTTGGCAGACCATCCCTTGAAAAGTCATTCTGCAATAGTTGTCACAACATCCCTGGAGGCTTGCTCTTCAAAAGTTGGTATAGCATCCCTGGAGGCTTGCTCTGCAGTGGTTGGTAGACTATCCCTTGAAGGCACACTGCAGTTGTTGGTACGGCATGCCTGGAGGTTTGCTTTTCAGTAGTTTGTAGACTATCCCTTGAAGGCACACTGCAGTTGTTGGTACAGCATGCCTGGAGGCTTGCTCTGCAGTAGTTGGTAGAGTACTGGGTTGTAAATGGGCAGGTGATTTGAGTGGGCTCTTTCTGTGACTTCTTTGGAGTAGATGATGCCTTCTGTGATCCAAAAGACATGCGTGTGTGCCTTGATAAATTGGGGTTATTAGATATTATAAATAAAATATGAATATATTATTAGAGTCACTTCATTGATCATTTTCAGATTTTCGCCTACAATTCTGTTTCTAACTCAGACACATACTTCTCTTTGAACATCCAAAATATTAGGGTACAAGTGACATTTTTCTTTATGCCATGAGACAAATGACCTGATAAAGTCACTGATCTGTCAAGGGACTCTGATCCATTTAGCCTTTGATAATGGATCTGGGCTACTAAAGACACTATAAAGATTTCTGAATCTTAGTAAGATAAAGTTTTGTTCAATGTTTTAGTTTCTGTGATCAAATTCCAAAGACATAAAATAGTGCTCACTGGTGGCAGTTGTGGAACCCCAGAAGACCCAGGTTGTGTCTCTGTCAGTTTCACCCAGGCAGGAGTTCCTGGACATGCTGAGTAAAGCTTTCCTAACTGTATGGTGTATCTTCCTCTGGTTCTGTGACTTTATATTGTGTTGTTTATGAAATGTTCATCTTTCCATGCCATGTACCTACACCCCAGAGTCAGTGGTGAGGTTAGCGGTAAGTGGCCTTTCTTATAATTAGAGATCTATCTTGGGACAGGCAGAAGCTCAGGATGTTCTCTACAAAATGAGCAAGCCTTTGTTTGAAAGATTAGCTCCATCCCCACTGCTCTGCCGGAGCCGATCAGCACCTTGAGTGAGCTGTCCTACCAGGTCCCTGTTGCTCTTCAGCTGCGGAAGCGCAGGCTCATTCCCCATTGTGGGTTTGTTGACAGCTTTTCCGTGGAACAGTTTGAGGAGTGGAGAGCCCTGTTTCTGAGACAGAGAAGTGTTTTCACACCTGAAGTGTAATCTCACACCTTGTGTTTCTCAGCAGATAAGTGCATAAAATAACACATCAAACCAGAATAGGAAAAAAGATCAACGTACAAAGAAAACTGTAGGTTGTAATTTGCTTCCTACCTTACAGTGCTCTGAGAGGAAATTACAGAATCTGGGTTTACACTTTCAAAGAGTTTGCCTGGTGACTTGATGGGAAAGCAAGTTGCACACACTGGGCTCTCTGCCCACACCGAACAGAAAGTGCAGAATGATGGACCTTAGGAACATCCTAACATTTTGATGGTTTTTTTGAATAGTAGCATGCATGTAAATTAGAGGCAAAAGTTTTAGTTAAAAGTCCCAAAATGATCGGTGAAATGATTTTGATAACACGTATTTTCAAAGATAATTTTCTTTGTAATGATTCATTCAGGGATTTTAGCCAAAGTAGATGATGCCAGTAAAATTTGGATGCTTTCTTTTCCTTTTTGTAACTAAAAAGAAGGCCTTAGTCTCTGCTTCATAGTATTCCAGTGTAGGGGGGATTAAAATGGGAGGGATCTTGCTTGGTTTCATTGTTTGAAAACATGAGTTTGAAGAGAAGAAGGTCTGGCTTCCTGTCTAGTCATGGATGTTCATTATGAAATTATTTGTTGAAAACCCAGCTCCAGTTAGGAACTAAGCCAGGCATGGCGGTACTGTGCTATGTAAGCCAAACCCTCTCTTTACCTCTGAGGGGCTTTCAGTCTGTGGATGAGAAACCAGGTAGTGACCATGAGTGCTGTGGTAGGGCCAAGCTGGGTGCTGGCAGAGGTGGAGTCACATGGCTTCTAAAGAAAGTGTTGGTATCAGCTAGGGAAGGTGGATGGTCACTGGGTATCAGGGCATTGAGAGCCTGCCCAGGGGAGTTGGGGCGGGGGTGAAGCTTGTGGGCTGGGGTTCCAGCATGAGATGGTTCAGAGAATGTGTAGACTATAAGGAGAACAAGAAGAGAAGATACTCCAGCCTAGACAGAAAACAATGATTTGACTCTGAATGAAAATCCCACACGTGGAGAAAAAGAATGCATATGCATTTTGCCACATAAATGAAGCTCTGTCTGGATGACCACAGCCCATTGCACATATCCCTGTGTACCTCCATACATAATCTATGCAAACATAGGTTCTAACGAACCTCATAATGTACCATACTGCCATGTGTGAACCAATAGACATATCAGGCAATAATCCTTCTCCTTAATAATCTACGCATGATGTGGTGGTCCAGATCTGAAACTACCATGGCGAGGAGCAATTTGCAGCCCATGTGAAGATTACAGCTAAGCCAGTGCAGGGCAAAGCAGGGACCTTGTCTCACCCTCCTTTCATTTGTTTTTACTGTAGATACGTACGGAAAACTCTTCCTTCTCAACTGTGTGGGTCAAGAGATGTCCCGATGCAAGACATCCATTCGACGCGGCCAACCCAACCCCGTCTATAAAGAGACCTTTGTCTTCCAGGTGGCCCTCTTCCAGCTCTCTGATGTTACCTTGATGATTGCCGTTTACAGCAGGCGCACTATGAAGCGTAAAGAGATGATTGGCTGGCTCGCGCTGGGCCAGAACAGCAGTGGGGAGGAGGAGCAGGAGCACTGGGAGGAAATGAAGGAAAGCAAAGGCCAGCAGATATGCAGGTGGCATACACTGCTGGAATCCTAGGCTTACCAAGGGGCTTCTGTGTGGTATATCAGCCTTGATCATCTGACACCAAGTCAGAGCATTGTGTGTGTGTGTGTGGGGGGGGGCTTTCACATTGAGAATTTTACTAATCTTAGGGCATTCTGTGGTTTAGAACATCATCAAGGGTTTGGCTTTCATTTAAATATTGTAATGAAGGGAAAGCTACTTGCAGGGCCAAGTGCGCAGTTTGGGAAACAGTACCCTAGTGGAGACCACTGGTGATGTCATCATTTGTGCTAATGGATGGCTGTGTTTTGGTTCGCACTATGGGATGCAGCTTCTCCTGCTTTCTCTTTTTGCTTGGAGAATAGACTGAGGTTTCAAAGGAGCTGGAACACTACTGTTTTCCATCACTGAGGTGTATGAATCAGACTCTTCTCGGTGTTCACATTTCCAAAATAGAGAAAAGAGTCAGATGCTGAGGATTCCAGAAAGATGTAACCAATCCACAATCCTCTGCCACGCCTACTCTCTTTATGAAAAAAAAAAAAGCTCTGTTTATTTAAAAGGTAATTGTTATAAATGTGTGGTATAAAATAAATTTGTATTCATGAAATGCCTCTTTTTTCTCAATTAGATAAATCACGATTTCTAAAAGAATTGGGTTAGACAAATCATCTTGAAGTTGCAAAAGAGTTAAAAAAACTGACTGTTATCTGACCTATCTCTTTTTGAATATGTAAGATCTCAAAAATCAAGGGTTTTATGCTTTTTTTTTTTAAACCGAGCCAGTACCTAAAGAACAAGAAGAAAACCAAGGAGACAATAAAGTCTTGGCTTTCTTGATGTTTCCAAATCTGGAGTTCATTTGTATTATACCTTTCTACAGACAATTATATTAACTCACACAAGTGGTTTTTGTATGTACACCTGTGTGTCTGTCACGTTCACCTTTATGCTCTGTACCCTGCCAGTAGAACATAGTAAAATGCGTACAGTGGATCTTAATAAATACTGATTTGATTGACTTGTGGGAATGAACATGTGAACCCCTCTGAGAAAAGGCATAATGTCATTTTGCATAGAGCGACACTGAATTCTTTGAGCACTGAGACTCCCCAGCACTGCTGTTTCTCACATGCGACAATATGTATTAGTGACTCCTTGCCTTCTGATCACGTGCTCTTTAAACGCTGACCATGTATGGTTCTGGGCTTAGGGTTTTACTGATGAGCCGCTTTTACATATTTTTGCAGTGTCCTTTTATTTGCTTTATTTTTAGATCTGAGCTCTTACTTTCAATGCCTTTCACCTGGACATGATAGAGGGGGAGGGGATGCACACTTAACCCTGTGCTCAACGTTAGAGGTTCTCTGAGCAATTGCCCAGTCGTTTATTTTTAGCCTTTGATGTTTTCTTGTTGACTTCCACCCTGTCTGTGGGAAGAGTGATAGGTAGAGATGGATGCGTACAGCCAAAGCCATGTCGCTTCCCCTCAGCTCTGCATTTGGACAGATTGTCAGCGTAGGCTGCAAGGCTTGGAGAACATATTTATTCCTTGCAATTTGTAATGGTTATCTTGACAAGACCAGGCAAGGGCATGGGATAACTCTACTGTGATCACAGGAATCAGATATTTGGAAGAAATCTCTTTATATAGAAGGACAAGAATTTGCAGAATAAATTAGTATCTTCATTTCTTTTCTGGTCCCTTGGGTTTTCCCCTGTCTTTCTTGGGAAGACCTGAGAGTGCTTTCTCAGCATCATGTCCATTAACTGCCTAGTGGGTTTTTCAGCATGACTGTGTCACAGGGTAGAACTGAGTGCAATTGATGGAGAGCGACGAAGAATTGGCTTTTCACATCCCTCCCTCTCTGTGCGCCTTGTGTTTAAAGGGAAGTAGAGCAGCCTCGTTTTGCTTCCCTTTATGCCATGAGCATAATAGCAGCATTCATTTTAAAATTTACATTTGAAAAAAAATCTGTATATATTGTACAGACAGCCCTGGGTTTTCCTCGCTCATGTTTGCCTGCTCTACATGTTGCCTGCATCCAGAGTTTTGCGGACCCCAACAATCACCAGTGCTTTCTATTCTGCTCCTTGACTTGTCCAGTTTTAGGGTTTTCTGCTGGCATAGTGAGCTTCACAATCATGTGCACCCTTTCAAGAGGAAAGATGCCTGAAAAGCGTTTCCCCCACTTTTTCATTTCCTTTGTTATTGCCACCCGCCATAACACTTGTGCGTCTTGGTTATACAGCGGCGTTCACCCTCCACCGATGGAACAGACATCAAATTCTAAAGACAAGATGCATTGAAATGTGAGGCTGACCATTTTTTTAATCTCAATTTGAAATTCTGCTTTAGGAAGATCTTTGAATTTTGTGCACTTAGACTCTCTTATATTTTCTTGGCAAAGTCTAGACCCAAATGCATTTAACATGTTTTTCACTTGAGCGTTTACAGCTACATTTGCCTCTCAAAAGAGTTATGAAAGATAATTAGTTGGCTCTGTGGTGGGAAAGCTGCCTTTGCCTGCTTTAGCTAAGCTAATGATTAATATCTTGTGCAGAGCTTGATGTGGAAGCAATGCTGGGTTTTGTTGCTTGCTGGTTCTTTCCCCAAGAGTGAGCTTTGAAAACAATGTCATTGAGAGCGCAGAGTTTATGGAAATATGTTTCATTGTGGGCCTGCTTTCCGGGCACAGGCTTCTGCTGACTTGAGAAGGGTTGGTTTCACCAATCACAGTGCTGGCTGTTATAGTCTCTGATCCCCTCTGACTGTTTTCTCTTTTTCTTTTTTTCTTTAATGGACTATTCACCAGAACAGACAAGCACCTGCTCTGGGTTCCGTCTCCTTTTCACTGGCTCCCCATGAGAGATGCACAGTTGTTTTGGACCCTGTGCTTGCTGATCAAATAACTGCTGGGCAGAGGGAATCCTGCTTTCCCTAACATAAGAAGAATTTTTAATGCCCATGAATGTAGTATTCTTAACATTCCTCCAGCATGAGACCCCAGAAATGAGCCAGATCATGTTTGCAAAGAGACACAATGTTGCATCTGTGGTCGTTCAACTTAGGTGTCATTGGCTATGATGTGCTCTGATGACAGTTCAGGCATTGATGCGAATGTTGGTGTTCTCCACAGTGCTAGCTCCTCTGGTATACCTGAAGCACACCTTCTCCCTCTTCAACATGACATTCACAACATTATACAAATGACGGTTGCCTCTTTCTGTGATTTATGTTTTGGCTGCACCAAAAAGTGTTATCTGAGAATGCAAATTTTTCTTTCCAAGGAATTCAAATCTCCTGGAAAGTTTCTTGGCCTATTGATCTTTCAGTGTGGACACTGAGCTGTGTAGCCACCTAAACCTGGCTGTCCTTTCCATGCAGAGAACTTAGTATATGGAGGTATGAAAAAAAGTCATTTTTAAGTGACATGAAATCACATGGAAACAATTTAGAACTGGATCTTGCTGTACAGGGAATGTGATATATATATATATATATATATATATATATATATATATATATATATACATGCCAGGCTTGCCTTAAACTTGTGATCCTCCTGCCTCAGGCTCCAAAGTGTTGAGATTACAGCAGTCATGAACTACCATGCTTACTTTGAGGGTATAGCCTTTGCTGAGGAGTGAGTAAACCAGAAAACACATGTGATGCTTCCCCTTTAATTCTGCATGGAACTGTAAGTGAAGACAATTCCATTCTAAATTCCTAGTCAGAAGCAAATGATAGATGATCTTGAAATGACAGAAGAATTTTTATTGTCTGAAAAACTAGCTATTTTGATACAGGTATCAAAACCATGGTGTGGAAGAGATAAAGGAATGAGTGTGTGGGCATGGTTGGCATAATTGATGTATATTCAAGAAGAATCTATAAGTAGACCAAGAAAGGTATTTAAGATCAATCACCACGCAACAGTCAGTGGGACTCTGAACAACACTTAAAGGTGTGGAACAAAACAAATCCCAGGCAGTGGAGTAGGCACAGGCCATGTGCTCATAGCTTGACTTCAGCTGGAACTCTGCTTTGTCGCCTTAGTCCCAGCACTTGGGAGGCAGAGGCAGGCAGATCTCTGTGAGTTCAAGGCTAGTCTGGTTTATAAGAGCGAGTTCCAGGACAGCTAGTGTTGTTACACTCAGAAACCCTGTGTCAAAAACAAAAAACAAAACAAAACAAAAAACCCCTAAAACAACAACAAAGAAAATGACCTAACCAACCACACCCCAGTGTCCTCAAATGGAAAGCAGAATTAGTGCCTGCCTCTAGGTTTCTTTTAAGAGATATCAGTGAAGTCCCCACTGTAATGTGACCGGAATAGAAGCTGGCACAAAGCCAATATCCCGTGTTTCCTCCTTATAATCGTACTTGAGAGAGAAGTACCGGGGGTTGACTACTTTTTCCAGGAATGCGATTACAACACTGGGCGGAAACTCCAAACATCTTTCTCAGGAACGTGAAGGACGCACCTTCGCGCAGCTGGCCTAGATGTGCACAGGAAAGTAGATCTCGTCAGGAGATGAGCATGACAAATGAGTAAATGACATCGTGATAGAGATCAGCCGAGGCGTAACCAGATCTCTGTCTTTTACCCTCTCGCCTTGGAGGTAATGTAAAACCTGAATCATTGATGTCTGCATCTCAATCAGCTGCTCACAGGTCTTTCCTCAGCCCATGCTACTGCTCATAGGCAGACTGGGCACTAAGTGTCCCCATCAAAAAGCTTGAGTTTGGTTATATGTTTTAATTTGGTCTACCCAAATAAGCAGTGTGGTACTCCAGGGGCAGTCTTTAAAAACAGATGTATCTTTAAAGCCCACAATCTATACTTACATCTTTATAGATGAGGAATTTTCAGCAGTGAGAACTTAAGATTTGTTGTTCAACTGAAGGCTCAATTTAGAACCCATTACATCTCATTGTTGCCATTAGGTCACAATGGAAGGAATTCCATCACCCTCTAGAACTTCCTTTCAGTTTAAGGGTCCCTGGTTGATACAATGGGAAGTATGTCCAGTTGTTTTCAAGCGATTAAACTGCAAGCGATGAAGACGTGCTGAAAGTTTAGAAAAAGCCTTTGTTGACTTTAACCCACAGAAGTCAGGGACAAGTGACCCCAAGTGTTCCTGGATTCCGTGGGCCAGTCATCTTCTGCATGGTGGCAGTGGTGGAAGTTTCGAGATGGGATCTCCTGTAAGCTTGAACTTGCTGAGTAGCTGAGGATGATCTTGAACTTCCGGTCCTCCAGCTTCCATCTCCGGAGTGCTGGGGTTATAGGTGTGTGCCACCAGGTCTGGTTTTTGTGGTGTTGGGGCCTGGAGGCACACTACCAACGGAGCTCGATCTCTAGGCCCAGAGTAACCCTGGGATGGGAAGCTGTGAGGATGCTATGTTGAATTCCAGACTTCCCAATTCAGGGACAGCAACACAGAGACGTGGGACATGGATTATTGGAGTAAGTGCCTTCCAATGGGGATAACTAGTAGGGAAGATAAAACTATTGGATGGGAGATGAGAAGACTGGGAAGTGATTTACAGAATAATGACCCAGAAGGTAGAACCCTACTGCAAGGACAATGTACGTTTTCTGGTCTTGACAACATGGATAGGGTCAGAGCATCCACAAACACTTATGATGAGACTTGAATTTAGACATTAGCAAATTATATGAAGGTTGTTTCTCATTAGCTTAAGTGTATTCGTTGGATTTCCTCTTGTCCAGCACTGGGTTATTTGGGATGGTGTAGAGCTTTCATATCTTTCTGAGGTCATTGGCTAACATTGAAATCACAGTGCTTACCAATAACCAATATACAATCATTAAGTGATTTTTTAATTATTTCTAGTCCAAAGTAGATTTTCTAATCGTGGGTTATGGGAAGAAGTGAGATACATTTAGCTGAATGAACCAGGGGAAAACTGCTGACCGTTCCTGATTGGGGGCCAGTCTTGGTTGCCCAAAGAAGTGAATTAATTGCCAAGGAGATCCCAGAAGCTTGGCTTTTAAAACAGAAAGCTGTGCTGGCAGTGTTAATTCCACAAGAATGGGAGGGCACCCAGGAAACCTGTCTTTAGAAGGTTTCCTCTAAATTTAGTATCTGGTATGTAATCCCTACATCCTGGTCTATACTCTCCTCTCTGGTTTCCCCACATAGATTTTTCTCTGCTTCTTAGGTCTTCTCTGGGGAGTTGCTACTCGGGTCTTGTTTGGGTAACGCTGGGGTGCCCGCAGGCTTTGGCTGGCTCTCCTCTCCTATAGTGCATCAACTGTCAACCGTTTTCATTCCCCTTGGGGCAGGTGGCCGTATCCTAGACACGGAGGTGATAATCACCTATATTTACAGCCCACGTGGAACCTGTGTGCAGCTTGAGATTTTACAGTACAGACACGGGCGGCAGCCATGGAGGTCGATGGAGGTTCTTAGAATCACACTGCTGAGTTCTGTGAATGGCTTTCGAGTGCTCACTGATGCTGCCTCAAGTGTCTCAGGGGAGCTTTTCCTTCTTACTACCATATGATAATATTACCAAGCAACCTGGAGGTTCATGAGAAGGCAGATTTCCCCATGGTGTCGCCAGATGTATGTGAAATTTTTGATGACTTAATTTTTCCCTTAAATTATCCATTTGATTTTTAATAATTTTTGGATGCATTCAAAACATATTCACTAAAGTCACAGAGGCTTAGAATGTTCTTGAATCTGGGCAGGGACCATAAGGAACACTCGTGAATGAAAGAGTTCCACAATATTTTTGCTTCTAAATAGCCTCTCCTTTCATGGCTGATTCTGACAAGGGCTGCAGGCAAGCAAAAATTTACTTTTATTATCTTGTAATTTGGGACTTAATATATTTCTACCATAGTTTCTTCTCCCTTGTAAAGGGGAGAGGATTTAGAAGTTATTACTCTGTGTCTAGTTAAGGAATAAATATCCTTGGCAGTTTATGCTTCCCTTCAAAATAAATGGGTATTTTATATCTATAGAGGGAGGAATGCAGCGTTCTGCTCCTGCAAAGAAATGAGTTACAGCAGGAGATGGTGTTTAGACAGGGATTTGAACTTTTGTGACTGAATCTTGAATTCCCTTTATAAGGCAGGAGGATTGCAGCTCTGTACAGGCAGGCATGACACAGTTTTACAGGCTCTGCATAGCAGGAATGGCTGCTCCTATCTGTTCGGATGTGTGGATTGGAGCCTCTAACTCTAGGAGACACGGGTGAGGATCTGAACGGAGAACTCTACTGACCTTTTTTTTTTTTTTTTTAAATTTTTAGTGAAAGTTAACTGAGATTGTGTTAAGAAAGTTAGGACAGATGTAGTTAGAGAAATATTGCATATTTTTCTCTTATTTTGGAGCCTAGACTTTATAGACAAAACCATTTTTATATGCGACAAAGAAGAAGGGAGATAGAAGAAAGAGGGGAACCAGTGGGAGGGAGGAAGTGGGGCGAATATTGTCAGAGAGCATGTGATGTCAACTGTCTTTATAAAACTAAGCACTATGCACAATGACATGCCCCCACCCCAGTCCCCCAAAACTGTACATTTGGGGGCCTCCTTGTAAAATGTGTAAGATCAATATCAGGTTGTTTTCACATGGAAGATGGGTTAACATCTGCTTTCTTGTGCTGATTTGAAACTGATCTGAACATAACTTGGTTTTGTGTTCTAGGGACCAACCCCGCCCCCCACCCTTACTGAGGGTGAGCTCTGGTTGAGCCAGCTCCCTCGTCCTGGGTATAATTCTTGCTACTTCCAATTTCATAACAAAGGACACAGGTTGGATTCTTTCCCAAGTGGATTTATTGCTTATCAATCTTAACATTATTAAAGTACAAGTGTCCACTAAGCACATCTCAGCTGAGGCTACCTAAGTCAGTCTTTGGTGACCTACAACAACTTACTGAGCAGGGTTTATGTGTCATCCAGTCCATGGCCCAAAGGAAGTACACATATCTCATCTGACAGTGACCTTGATAGTTGAGAAAAGGCACCAGAAAGTTACCTAAGCTGTTCCTCCTACCCTGGCCAGGGAGTCTCCCACATGGGCTTGTGCTGGCCTCACCTTCTTTATGGGGATGCCCAGCTTTGTCTTGCGGTTTTCAACTCTTGTCGTTCTGTCTTTGTGAGTTTCTTTTTGTCTTTGAGATGGAGTCTTTTTCCTTCCTTCCTTCCTTCCTTCCTTCCTTCCTTCCTTCCTTCCTTCCTTCTGTCTCTCTCTCTCTGTCTCTGTCTCTCTGTCTCTCTCTCTGTCTGTCTCCCTCCCTCTCTCTCTCTCTCTCTCTCTCTCTCTCTCTCTCTCTCT